ATCCTCCGGTACTTCCGTGACATTTTCACCCAAAACGAAGAGGTCGTGATGAACCTGGAAGCTACACAGCAGTTCGGCTAGCAGAAATACACCACAGACAGTAGCACGTAGAGCCATTTTTACTTTGTAACGTTATAGCAATGGTTCTCTGACACCACACTTCCTCTCAATGTTACCGGATCAATTCTTTATTTTTCAAGCCACTTACTCTTTTGAGGAAGTTGCTTACTGTTATTGTTTCTCCTTCCTGCCGGGTTCCTTGTCGGGTTGAGATCGCCTCTTCTTTATCAAACTGCGGCTAGACAAAAAGCATAACAACGATGTTAACTCTAGCTATAATTTGTTTCCAGGCCATTTGTTTCAAGTCTAACCACGCCTAAACTTACTTGATCTGGACACCCTGGAGGCACAAAAATGTGTCTGCATGGACACGGAAATGGAGGCACACAGAAATTCTGTCTTTATGATAAGAAAAACGTAGTACAAACTGTTGTTGTTGTTGTTGAGCAAACTATCGGTTCAATACAGCGAGACCACACTTCGAATTCGTACGTCGTGTTTGGGGCGATCTTGGAAGTCATGATTGGCTGAACTGTGTGGTAGTTGGTTGAACTACAAGTACGTTGTAGCTCACTTTTACCATGGAATGTAAAACAATAGACCTATCAAGTGGGTTCTTAAGAGCAAATGTCTGTAAGGATCAAACAATGGTGGCAGGGGTCAAAAAATCGATTTGGCTCAAATTTTGCACAGTGGTAGTACTTGGCCCACAACCCCTCAAAATAGCTTTCTTTCTGCTCCACACCGATCGTTGCCATGGTAACGGGCCAAACATGTTTTGGGGCCATTTTCCCTGATTTGGGCATGTCAAAAACATGAAAATTACCAATGTTTAGGACGCGATTACAAACAAATGCTTGAATATATCAGAAAGACAAAAACTGTGCTGAAATCACCAACTTATCTGCTTTTCTAAAATAGCTTTAAACTTTTCCAGAGGCCCGTTTAAAGGGCCTGGGCATCCCTAAGACAATACAGTGTTTTTGGCTTGTGAAATATCCCTATTTCTGCCCATTTTTGAAGCGCTGTAACTCCAAAGATGGTGATTTTTTTTTCTTTCATATTGAAATCACAGATACATAATCATATGTGCTATAAAATGCATGTTTGCAAAGTTTGGCCAATTGTTTGGTTCTCACGTGGTTGTCCTCTGAAGTAGGTCATATTTTACATTTCAAGAAAAATACCAAATTTTGTCATATTTAAGATGCAATATATACAATATGAAAGCAGAAATCTAATAATGCTTTGCACAATATGTAACCCTATTGATTGTCTATCAAATGCATTATTGTGGAGTTTGGAGTCTCGTTTTGTTGCTGTGTACTTGTCCCTGAAAGTAGGCCATATTTTCGACATGTGGTAAAATTAACATTTTCGGCTGTCTTCCAGGCTCTATAACTGACAAAGTGGAGTATTATTGGAACTCAATATTTGTAGGGTATTACATACATGTATTGGGTGTGGAATGAATTCTTGTTGAGGTTGGACTCTTGTTTCGTTGCTGTGTACTTGTCTCTGAAAGTAGGCCATATATTGGACATGTGCTAAAATTAAGATTTTGGTCAATCTTTGAAGCTCTATAACTAACAAAGCAGGATGTTGTTTTCCTTCAATCTTTGTAGGGTAGTAGATACATGTATTGTGTATCAAATGCATGCTTGTGGAGGTTGGCGTTTTGTTTCGATGCTGTGTACTTGTCCCTGAAAGTAGGCCATACTTTGGACATGTGCTGAAATTATCGTTTTTGGCTAACTTTAAAGCTCTACTAACTGGCAAAGTAGGATTTTATTCAATTCAATCTTTGTAGGGTAGTACATACATGTATTGTGTATCAAATGCATGCTTGTGGGGGTTGGAGTCTTGTTTTGTTGCTGTGTACTTGTCCCTGAAAGTAGGTCATTTTTGGACATTACAGAAATTAGCATAATATATGGCTGTGTTTGAAGCTATAGAAATGACGATGTAGGATTTTATTTCAATTCAATCTTTTAAGGGAAGTACATATATGCATTTTGTATCAAATGAACTTATGGAGGTCTGGGTCTTGTGTCATTATTGTGCACTTGTCCCTAAAAGTAGGCCATATTTAAGCACATACCGGTCTGCGCTTGAAGCCCTATACACGCCAAGGTAGGATGTTATTTGAATTCAATTTTCTAGCAGAAGTATTTTATCTTATTGTGTATGAAATGAAGGCCTATAGAAGGTGGGTTCTTGCGTAGTTGCTCTGTACTCCAAAAGTAAGCCATAATTAGGACATATTCTATTGTTTCTTTGTAGCTGTCCCCGAAATTAGGAAATATTGCTCACGTTTCTATATATTATATATATAGTTCTGTGTCGTTTGAACATTTGAAAAAAAATTCTCCTTGATTCAAAATTTGAAAAACCAAATCATGTGTCTTCGGTGTTTTATTATTTTCAACACAATTCTCCCTAGTGTGGTTGCTCACATTCTTGAATCTTTATAATATGTCAAAGTGATTAAACAATGATTGTTTTTGAATAAAAGGGATTTTTTTCAAATGTTCAAACGACACAGAACTATATAATTATATATAATATATAGAAACGTGAGCAATATTTCCTAATTTCGGGGACAGCTACAAGGAAACAATAGAATATGTCCTCATTATGGCTTACTTTTGGGGACAAGTACAGAGCAACTACGCAAGAACCCACCTTCTATAGGCCTTCATTTCATACACAATAAGATAAAATACTTCTGCTAGAAAATTGAATTCAAATAACATCCTACCTTGGCGTTTATAGGGCTTCAAGCGCAGACCGGTATGTGCTTAAATATGGCCTACTTTTAGGGACAAGTGCACAATAATGACACAAGACCCAAACCTCCATAAGTTCATTTGATACAAAATGCATATATGTACTTCCCTTAAAAGATTGAATTGAAATAAAATCCTACATCGTCATTTCTATAGCTTCAAACACATGCACAGCCGTATACTATGCTAATTTCTGTAATGTCCAAAAATGACCTACTTTCAGGGACAAGTACACAGCAACAAAACAAGACTCCAACCTCCACAAGCATGCATTTGATACACAATACATGTATGTACTATCCTACAAAGATTGAATTGAAATAAAATCCTACTTTGCCAGTTATAGAGCTTTAAAGTTAGCCAAAAACGATAATTTCAGCACATGTCCAAAATATGTCCTACTTTCAGGGACAAGTACACAGCATCGAAACAAAACGCCAACTTCCACAAGCATTCATTTGATACACAATACATGTATCTACTACCCTACGAAGAATGAAAGAAAACAACATCCTGCTTTGTTAGTTATAGAGCTTCAAAGATTGACCAAAATCTTAATTTTAGCACATGTCCAATATATGGCCTACTTTCAGAGACAAGTACACAGCAACGAAACAAGAGTCCAACCTCAACAAGAATTCATTCCACACCCAATACATGTATGTAATACCCTACAAATATTGAGTTCCAATAATACTCCACTTTGTCAGTTATAGAGCCTGGAAGACAGCCGAAAATGTTAATTTTACCACATGTCGAAAATATGGCCTACTTTCAGGGACAAGTACACAGCAACAAAACAAGACTCCAAACTCCACAATAATGCATTTGATAGACAATCAATAGGGTTACATATTGTGCAAAGCATTATTAGATTTCTGCTTTCATATTGTATATATTGCATCTTAAATATGACAAAATTTGGTATTTTTCTTGAAATGTAAAATATGACCTACTTCAGAGGACAACCACGTGAGAACCAAACAATTGGCCAAACTTTGCAAACATGCATTTTATAGCACATATGATTATGTATCTGTGATTTCAATATGAAAGAAAAAAAATCACCATCTTTGGAGTTACAGCGCTTCAAAAATGGGCAGAAATAGGGATATTTCACAAGCCAAAAACACTGTATTGTCTTAGGGATGCCCAGGCCCTTTAAACGGACCTCTGGAAAAGTTTAAAGCTATTTTAGAAAAGCAGATAAGTTGGTGATTTCAGCACAGTTTTTGTCTTTCCGATATATTCAAGCATTTGTTTGTAATCGCGTCCTAAACATTGGTAATTTTCATGTTTTTGACATGCCCAAATCAGGGAAAATGGCCCCAAAAACATGTTTGGCCCGTTACCATGGCAACGATCGGTGTGGAGCAGAAAGAAAGCTATTTTGAGGGGTTGTGGGCCAAGTACTATCACTGTGCAAAATTTGAGCCAAATCGATTTTTTGACCCCTGCCACCATTGTTTGATCCTTACAGACATTTGCTCTTAATTGTATTAAACCCTAAATGATCTTGCCACGAACTATCACCCCCCCCAAATAAACTCTTTCGAGAGCAAGATTTTACTAGATATTGAACATAACTCGATGTAGTTGAAAACCAGAAGTAATCGTTACGACCAGGCTTCCGCCACTATCTGTTGACAATTGGTCTAGTCTTCAGACACATATCGAAACGATAACTACATATAATGACTCTCTACAGAAGACAACTTCTGTAAGTTATTCATCTGTTCAGAATCAGAAACGGGATCGGATATTCCCACCTGTGACGACGACGTTTGAGATCCTCAGGTTTGCAGACTAAAGTTCTGATCTGTCACAGAGTCACATCCGTATGAAATTTCGTTCAACCTGTTCGGCGGTAGAGAACGGGTTGTACTAATCAGCTCAATAGGGGTGACTAGGTCACTTGAAGCAACTTACCCAAATCGTATCACGTCGGCAAAACATACTGCAATTGTGGGAAGCCCATAAAGTGTTGTGTGCGAATATGCATAAATTATATCATCTGATCATATTCTCCAATTATGCAAATGATGCCCGAATATAATAATAACTTATATCTAATGATGCTCACCTTCATGTAGCTTCATGTAGTTTTGAATCTATTTTAACGCATTGATAAATATGAATTCTGCATTGCAGTGACATTGGGATTCTTGAAGAAAATGGCTTGCTGAAGATCACCGGCAGGAAGGAAGTAAGTGACTGTAATCATGCTCTGTGTCACTGTTCTAGCCAGCCGGAATTTTTTTTCTCCATCATCTCAATTATGTTTGACACAACATAATTTTATTTTTAGATAAGGCCACACCAAGTAAATTCTATGGATGACGTCCGCGCGCGCATTGATTTTGGCCTGTTCCTAGAAAAAAACCAAGAAATTCCGCTTCCTGTAACTATGACCAAAGAGTCACGACAGTGCCGCAAATCATTAGATTGACATGAAACCCGTAACGCGAAATGGGTAAAGAGCACCTGCTTTTTTTTGCAGAAATGTAATGAAATAAACAGGACAGGACGGTAACTGCTGTTCCACCTGATTTATTGCTGTTTTGATGATGAATAAAAGACTTCTTGCTTGTTACACTGTGTCACCTCATTCAATTTGTGTCCTAACATTTGTCGTCTCTTAGTATATTTCTAATCTAGGCATCTTGTTTTTCAGGGCCCTTCTTGTTTTTTTTTCGCCCTCTCGCATTAGATTTAGGGTCTCCAAAGGACGTCATCCATAAAATTTACTTGTTGTGGCCTAAAGTCTGGGTCACATTTCACTTTAAATCATTATCTGATTTAAAAATCCTTTCTAGCAATTCATCATAAAGGACTCAACAAATGTTCATCCCACGATGGTCGAGCAAGTCTTACTGACGCATCCCAAAGTCTTCGATGTAAAGGTAATCACATTTTCATATCATCTCTGTGTAGATGGTTAGAACTATTAAAATATTCAATGAATTTTGTAGATATTGTGAATTTGACAACTGTACAAACTACGACAGTACGGTGGCCCACAAGTACACACCTGCGTCATCTGCGCGAACACCTGCCTCGTCTTGTGGGCCACCGTACGACAGAGATCTTTGATATCCGCGTTCTGTCTCAGGTGGTTGGTGTACCAGACCCTGCCTCTGTGGAAGAGATCTGTGCCTGTATCATGTAAGTCACTAAGTTTTTTATTGAGCAACATAGAACCTTACAGAACACAGTGGGCAACTCTAGCAGGTTACTAAAACTTAGTCCTATCACAGACACTGAGAAAGGTACATACACACTATGTGACTACGTTTGAAGCGACATGTGCCAAATTTACAATATATGTTTTGAAATTTGTTGTACATATGACAGTATGTGCTTGCACTCTTTGTCTTTGTCCTTTTGTCAAAGGAAAAAAAATCTTTTCTTTGTCATTTCATGATCACATTCAACTTGTAACCAAGCGTGTCTGTGTGTGTGTGTGGTGGGGGTGGGGGGTGTGTGCCGTGTGCGAGCGAGCGCCTGTGTGTATCCGTAAATATTTTTAAGGGGGTATGCAATCTCCGATGTAAAATATATGATTTATGCTATTGCAAACTTAATGCCATATCATGCCAGGAGTGCCTCCATGTGATCGAAAATAGCATTTTAACTGTCTACCTTTAACTAATGGCCAGATAATTTTTTTATTGCTTTAGACTAAAGAAAGATCAAACGTCAAATCTACAAGAGATGAGGGAGTTCTCAGAAATCCACGGGGTAAGTACAGATATCCTGACATGTTGAATGATCCCATAGACTGAAAGTAGAGATAATGATATCGATGTAGCTTAACATTAAAATTGCTGCTTTTCATTCCACATAATACTGTGCTAGTTTAGTAGAAGCCTACAAATGGCAGGATGTGTCTAAATATGTACGCTATCGTACTTCGTTAAAAATAGATGTTGTAATTCTAAAACTTTTCCGCAATTTGTTACCAAAGGACTATATCATTGCATGAGCCTCATTATTGCAAAACCGTCTCATGTGCTTATGATATGCATTTATATATTAATATTTATACAGAGGATGTAACGATAAACATTCTATCATTACAGCTGGTGGATGATTTTTGCCCCGAATACGTCATCTTCATGGATAGTTTTCCTCTGACCTCAAGTGGACAAAAGGTATCTTCTTGTTACATCATTTTCACGAATCGTCTTTTGGTTAAACTATGTTGCTTTGAAGGCATCCATTGCGTGGAAAACATTGAAATATTCTGAATAAGACAATCTTTATGATATGGACACATACTGACACATATGCAAATTTCAATCAGTATTTCATACTTTGAGTATTTAAAACTGCAGAAACAAGCCCCAAGATGAGTCCTTTAGTTCATGGATGGTACCCTAAAAATCAGCCCAGGGCCCTTCCAGTAACCATTTTCCGTCAGAATTTTGGATAGTTTTTCTTCATTGGGATAGTATGATTTCAACTCAGTACGTAGATAAGTGACTAGAATATTGACTTTTAAAGAAGCAGGTTTCCAAGCCCTAAAAACTGCACTGGATGCCTTTAAAAGGTTTAATAATCACCGAGATTAACGTGAAAAATACACTTTCTGGAAACAGGTCGACCGGAAGAAGCTGAGAGATGTCGCCATAGAGAAGCTGGCTCTGCAGAAATAAGTCACGACTACGGGTTTTTATATTATCGTGATGACAAAGGATATGCTGCATTCCTATTTTTAAATTTGATATCATGGTGCCAAGAGTGTCTTAATTATGCTTCAGACGTTCAGATAGTTATATGACGGATACAAAATACAAGGCTACATTTGTTTAATATTTCGCTTCATATATCACGAGAACATCATATAAAAATGGTCACTATATCAATGAATGGTTTACTTGTAAAACATAGCAGCCTATGGGGCTGAATTGTGTAGTAATTGCAATAAAAACTGCACGCCTATTGACTCCAAAGTAATCGAAAAAAACAATGATTTTGAAACGAATTCAACATAATATATGGTACATCATCTAAAAAATGAATGAAAAATGTCCAACCTTTAAGTCATTCAAATGTCCTAATATAGTCTTTTGAGACTGACTGACAGTAGAAGTAGTACTAATATAGAAAACTGGATCAACTACCAGACTGACTCACAATTGTACGTCAACTTGGGTCCCTTGTATTTTAGTGCAGAGATAAACATCATCATTATGTTAAATCATTATTAGGTAATAGTAGTAAGTAGTATTAATAGCTGTTTATGGTAGGAAAAGAAACATAAAGATTTAAGCTTTCTCCATATATCTGTTATTTGATTTCACAAGATACTGTTATAGTAGTTTCTTACATCAAAACACTAATTTTACATTTTAAGCATGTGATACCTTACAATTTATTTTACGAGCGCAACAATATACAGTCATAGTAAGAAATGAAATACATTGCTTAATTGGTTTACCATTTGTTGTTAGTCCCTCAGATCTTAAATATAGACGGTAGTAGAGGCGCATATAGCACGTCGACAGAACGTAATGCGCCTTTGCAAAACTGAATTTTCGTTTGATTTTTGGTCAACGTTGCATCAGAATTTTGCCCGTTGCAGACGATATCTTTTCCGTCAAAACATTTTATATACACAGGATGATCCTTAAATACGCAAATACGACCTTACACGAGAGATGTTCTGCCAAAAATGCTATGCACAATACAGTACGGCACAGTACATTCTGGTAGTAGTCAGGATGTAGGTAGGTTAAAGGTGAACGTCCTCCAGAAACCTTGGGTTGTATGTGTGCAGACGTGAGAACCTTGTGTCGTCCCTCGGTCGGGAGGGCCTTGCTGGGAAGTGTATAGTGATGTCCTGACTCCCAGCTGAACAGAAAACGTAAAACGTGTTTTAAAACATGCTGCTTGATGCTAGGTCTAGATGAAGGTTAGGCCATGTTGATTTCATTATATGAATGACATCGACGCGCGCATGAAATGTTGGAATTAAAAAAAAACAGAGCAGATTTAAAAATCTTCATGTTTATAACATTGTGTTCATCTTCATCAAATATCTTTTTTTTTCAACATATTAGTATAAATTATGTTTATATTAAATCGTTCATATTCTATTCTTATAATAGTAAACAAGTTTGTATTAGTTTGAGTTTGATGTTTTTGTTTGGGGTCTTCCCCCAGGCCCAGGGCTCATTGAAAAGCGCCCCACGGGCGATATGTATCCCCCTGGTTAAATAAATAAAAACAAACAAACAAAACAAGTTTAGGCCTTGGAAGTGGTGAAAAAAAACGTACCCGAGGACACGGTCTGCATCCCGTCATGCACCTGTGCATCATAGATTCTAATCTGAAAAGAAACGGACGTGAGTTCTGGAATCAAAGTCTCTGAATTCTGCTCGGAATTTTAGCGTGCAGTGTCATTTAGTTGATGTCTATCTGTCGCTATATATACTAAGTCTTCTTTGTCATCATATCGTTATGAATAAAATTCATCATAAAAAAATCTAGCCTGCTGGTTGACTGTTAACGAGCATTTCATGGCTGCTATCATGTGGTCATAATTATAAATGGACAGCTGGCAGCGGTAGGAGAGTTCCGTTTATAACTGGTACACGTGGTGTAGCCTCTACCAGGCTTCGGGAGGCGGCTGGAAAGAGTCACTCGGAAAATTGGTCAACAAGAGAGAGATAACATGCCGGGGGACTTCAAGAGTCCGCTAGAGAGTACAGTTTGCGGCATCCACACTCACACTCCAGCCGTTTCCCACAGCCTGGTAGCCGGCTACTAGTGGTGCACCCCGTCTGTGCCTCGCCTCTCAGTGCTATCGGACTGCTCGGTAAAACGTTAACAAGCTGTTTAGTTGACATTAACACAGATCCCACCTTTGATAACAAGTTCTGCTCATTCTCTTTGATTCTCCTGTCTTCCTCTGGGTCTGCCCGCTGATCTTCCGGCTGGTACAGAAAACTCTCGTTTGTGTTCCCAACTTGCTTATTCCAAACCTGCAAGAGTTAAAAATTTTAAAAGACGTTGCCATCGGGTTATTCAGAAAAAAAGATATTGTTTTGTAAAACGACTTTAAGATATTGAGTTTCACATTCGTAACTGTGATGTAAATTGATGCTGGATATAATGATTGCACATGCACAGTTTCAACAGCATTTATCTCAACTTTTCTTCTCTTCCTCCACCCCCCTGCCCACGTTTCCTTAGTATATTGTTGAGTATGGAATGATGGTAGTGTTGAGTATATATAAGTGTTGAGAAGTATATACGTATCCATCCTGATGAGAAGACCAGCAAACACGTAGTTCACAAGGCATACCACTAGGAGTTAAAAAAAACCAAGAGGTGGAAAGACCAGATACAGACAGACACAGGGCTCACTCTAAGGGAAGCTGAGGCTATGGCCCTGGATAGAACTGCCTGGAGGAACCATATACGAGGGGTAGCAAGGGGCCAGTTCCTGGCCTGAGCAAGTAGGCAGATAGGCATATATCCATCCTTGGGCCAAGTCTCTATCATGTGTGGCTCATGTCTATAACCATGTCATCACTTCAGAGCAGCAGCTGTAAGTACCTGATGGCCATCTTGTCCGTTCTGTTCGAGCATCTCGGCCAGAGAGCGCATGAACGGGTCCTTGGAATATCCGTATCCCCGTATGGACCCTTCTCGTCCTGGGTCCGGGGTATTGCCAACGCTGGAACAAGGTCAGAGTATACACATATATAAGTCATATCAATTAATATACCAAAGAACACTGTCTGATTTCTATAAATTGTTCAATGATTATAAAACCATAAGAATTAAAAACTGATTTCCTCTGAGTTAAGTGTTTCTGTTTCATTCTTACTAGGATTGGTTGAGGTGTATACATGTACATACGTACATGTACATATACATACGTACATGTATAAATGTACAACATGTACAGAACTACGTCTATTCTCTCAAGATTGGCTCTCAGACTAAGAATGAACAGCGCCACCTAGGGGCCATGTAACGTTATGCATGTGTAGGTGTACAATGGCGGGAGTTTCAGAGTATCAAAATGACGTCCATACTAACCTGTGTGGGAAGCTCTTGTTCCTACTCCTCTTGACCATGATAGCGATCCAGCTCGCAGCGGTGAGGATGATGAGAAGCCCTCCGGCACAGGATCCGATAATGATGTAGAGAATGATGCTGGTATCTAATATATAATACAGTAATAATACATTCGACTGATGTTCGTAATATCCTCTTGTGCTAATTGTATCCATATTCACATTGTAAAGTGAAACACATCTTGCGTTCAAAACACGCGAATGTGCGTCGATCGAATCTGTTTAGCAGAAAGATAAAGCCTGTTGATCAGGACATAAAATATCACCAATACCATACGACGTATTTTCAAAAGAAAGACTTTAAGTTTTACTCACCGACATTTTGGCACCTATCTCCACTGTAGTACCGCCAGAGGTTCCAAGAGCATCTAGGGAGAAAAATATTATTATATAGCCATGCATATATCCATAAAATGATTTCCCGAGTGTATATTTAAAAAGTGATATACCCTTCAAAAATTGGGAGGAAAAATAAAGATTGGTCTTAGCTTATTAGCTGTCTTATTATCGTCACATATGGTTGTAAAGTTGATATTTACGAATATCTATAATCCTCCCTAAAAGGAACAAACTCTGTCCCTACTCACAGGCAAGTGAGATGGTCGTTTGCTGAGTCGCTACACTGTGCGCCGTTGTAACAGTACCCAGGATTGGTTCGGCAGAACGCCATGCACTCGTCACCGATCTTGGTACACTTGATGCCATTTCCACAACCCTCGCGGTTGGAACAGGGCGACATCTCGGTAAAATTTCCTGCAAGAAAGAAAATAGTTAAACTTAGTCCCAAGCAGAAATCTTTTCTTACAACATATCTGTTCGAACAATATATCTGTTCTTACAACACATCTATTCTTACAACATATCTGTTCTTACAACACATCTATTCTTACAACAATTTTGTTCTTACAACACATCTATTCTTACAATATATCTGTTCTTACACAATATATCTGTTCTAACAATACATCTGTTCTTACAACACATCTATCTGTTCTAACAATATATCTGTTCTTACAACACATCTAATCTTACAACATATCTGTTCTAACAACACATCTATTCTTACAAAATATGTGTTCTTACAACACATCTATTCTTACAACATATCTGTTCCTACAATATATCTGTTCTAACAACATACCTGTTCGTACAACACATCTATTCTTACAATATATCTGTTCTAACAATATATCTGTTCTAACAATATATCCTTACAACATATCTGTTCTTACAACTCATCATTTTCACATCATGTTCCTCCTAAAAACACGGGTAACACTGAGCCGATCCCTACATCTGCTTGAACACTAGGTTGGCACCTTGAACGGATTGCCTACCTTCCACGGCTAGGCTGAGTCGTCCTACCACAAAGTTACCCAGCGTGTTGTCGGTGTTCTCTACCGCCGTCTGTAACACACTGCCGATCTCCTGTGGACTAACGGCCTCCTGACTCACAAGGATGACGTCAAACTCAGCAATGACACTGCCCTCTCTGCACGATAAAAGCAGATTTTTTTTAATGATCTTTAATGCAATTTTTGCAAACAAATAGTTTACAGCTATCAAAAGATTTGATTTCTTATTCAGTTAAAAACGGGACATGTTTCTGTACATGTACATATTGTCTAATCTCCAAGCAGATCCTATGGTGGCAAGGCAGCATCCAAGCGCGGCTTCGGTGAGATTTTGAACACATGAATCTATGCATGTACGTACATGCATATACGATTTTTGTCTACTAAACTTTACCACGGTATTTCGGTTACCAATTTAGCAAAAAAAGAAAACAAATAGTTTACTTCAATCTACTAACCTTAGAAAATTTTGCGAGGATTTTATTTTTGCTCTCTTGTGTAGCAATAATGTGTCGTTAAGGTCTACAGTACCTGAATCCATTGATCACGATCCCTTGGAAGCCGGGAACATCGGCATAGAGCTGTGACAACTGAACGTGGTACAAAATTGTTAACCTTGTCTATCTTTACCATACAAAGAGATTACAGAGGCACCTACATAACGTTACAACAGTATATAAAAATTAACCAAACGCAAAGCTTTTTGAGGATCTTATGTACATGAGCGTAGCAGTTAGTTCCATGCAATAAGTATACAAAGAGGCAACAGTTTCATGCGATAAGTATGCAAAGAGAGATTCCTTTCTAGAAATTTGCTCAATGTCATCCCTACTTTTGGGTATACATATAGGACGATACCTAAAATCACATAATAACATTGGATGAATTGATAAAGGAAAACTCACGTAGTCTATAAGCTCCTGTGCCAGCTGCTGATACTCAGCCGTGTTGCTGTTGGTGAGCTCCTGGGTGAAATTCTGACTGGTGATCTGGACTTCTATCGCCACGGCACTAGTCACGGCTGTAAAAAGACACAGGCATTTGACAATTGAGACATCTTTTTTGGAAAAAAAATCATAATTCAATTAACACAAAGCCAAGTTTGATGGCTATAGTATTTGTAGCGACATATTCTTAAACATATTCTTAAACTCTTTGTAAACAAAAGTATTTGTATACTGTTCGGTTCTAGTACTATGTTCTTTATAATTAGCCATGAAGGCTTATTATCCACTGACACATATTCTTAAACTCCCTTACATATATTTTTTAATTTCTTTACCAGTGGTCACTGGAAAGGGTACTGTTGTTAGCCCCTGGGTACTGCTACTTTGTGTTGTTGGCTTCAGTGTTGATGACATCAGCCTCTGGGTAGTGCTATTTTGTGTTGGCTCCAAAGTCGATGACGTAGGCGTCTGAGTAGTGCTACTTTTTGTCGTTGGCTTTTGTGTTGATGGCCTTAGTGTGGTAGATGTTGTTCCTTTTGCCACAGCAGACGTAGTCGTGTCCTGGCGTGAGGTGGTTGGCTGTGCCTCGGAAGGCGTTGCAGTTGACTTGCCAGCCGTGCTTGTTCCCTGGCTGACGATCGTCAACGTTTGTGGGGTGTTCGTTTCTTGCACCGCACCCAGCGTGGTTGTGGTTCCTTGTGCCATGGCAGAAGTAGTTTCCTGTAGAATAGCTGGAGTTGTGGTGCTCTGCACTACGGCTGAAGATGTTTGGCCCAAAGAAGTTTTAGTGCTCTGTACTATGAAGGAAGACGTCGTTCGACCGACAGAAGCTGTGGTGCCCTGCACTGCGACAGAAGATGCTGTCTGGCCGACAGAGGCTGAGGTGACCTGCACTGCGACAGAAGATGCTGTCTGGCCGACAGAAGCTGTGGTGCCCTGCCCTGCGACGGGCGATGTCTGGCCAACAGATGTTGTGGTGCCCTGAACTGCGACAGAAGATGTCGTCAGGCCGACCGAAGCTGTGGTGCCCTGCCCTGGGACAGAAGATGCCGTTTGACCGACAGATGTTGTGGTGCCCTGCACTGGGACAGAAGATGTCGTCTGACCTACAGATGTTGTGGTGCCCTGAACTGATACGGTAGATGTCGTCTGGTCGACTGAAAATGAGGTGCTCTGTCCTGGGACAGAAGATGTCGTCTGAGTGGCAAACGTTGTGGTGCTCTGCACTGGGACGGAAGATGTCATCTGACCGACAGAAGCTGTGGTAACCTGCCCTGAGACGGACGATGTCGTCTGGCCGACAGAAGCAGTGGTACCCTGCACTGGCATGGATGATGTCGTCTGATCTACAGAAGTTGTGGTGCCCTGCTCTGCGGCGGAAGATGTCGTCTGACTCACAGAAGCTGTGGTGCCCTGCACCGCTACAGTAGTTGTTTTCTGAATGAAAGAAGAGCTCGTTGTCCCTTCCACCGCAGTAGTTGTTTCTGGGCTGACGGCAGAGGTTGTGATATCCTGCACCACTGTGGAGGTTGTTGCCTGAGCTGTAGACGTTGAACCATCAATCATTACAGTCGTTGAAGGTGACATCACTGGTGAAGTGTCTGCGACATCTGAGGACGTAGCTTGCGTCACACCTGTAGTTGTCTCCAGCTTCTCAGACGTCGTTTCCGGCATGACTACTGATGTTGACTCAGGCTCAGCACTGGAGGTCAGTACCTGCACCGTGGTCGGGGGTGTTGCTGGCTGTCCTGAATTGGCTGGTGACCCTTCCACAGTGTCTGTTGTTATCAATGGTACGTCAGTTTGCGATCTTGACGATGTGGTCTCACTGATTTTAGCCACAGCTGAAGTTTCCTCCAACGTTTCGACTGTAGTTTGAACTTCCATTACTGCTGTTGTAACAAGTACGGACTCTACTGTTGTTTCCCGCGACACTTGTGTCGAGTCCTCAACACCCTTCGTTGTTGTTTCACTTGTTCCAACGCTTGTAGCAACTAGGCTAGTAGTTGCCTCTTTTGTAGCCATCGTCACTTGTTCTGTGACATCCGGTAGCAGTTCTGTTACCGTGCCTTGTGCCATGTTGATCGTGGTGTCCTGGATAGTTTCCTGTGTTGAAAATTCATCTTTAACTTCGTTTGTCTTCGTTGGTATGAAGAAGTCTGTTACAAACTCAACATCTGTCCTTGGTGCTGAAGTCACAACCTCCGTAGTTATGAACACCTCTGTGAATGGAAAACGTAGTGGAATTACTAAAAATGCTACATTTGTGAGCAAATACAGCATATTTCACTCCATGTAGCCCCCCATGCAAAAATGGTTTGTTCCACTCAATCTTTCGTAGAAATGGACCATCCCAAAGCATACTCAACCGTCATAGAATTGATAAGTGTGATATAATCAAGCCAAGCGAATGGCACAAGTTCAATAAAAAAATCTTTAAATTTAGCGGACGTGAAATGCTACATTAATCTAATACAGTCCAATGTGATTTGTCAGCAATCATCCTATTATCTAAGAATACCCTTACCAGGCGTAGTCGTCTTCTTGGGACGAGAGGTTGTCGTTTTCGAAGGCTTGACTGTAGTGGTGATTTGATCTGAAAATAGCGCGATAAGACCGCATTGTGATTCAATATTTGTCGCTTGATTGAAAGCTATATCTAAATTAAAGGGGGTTGATTTAGATCAACTGTATTAAATCTTAAAAGAACACGATAAATCATTGATTGAACAATACATACATCATGCAGTGTACCGTGCATGGATCCTTAACCCGTGATACAAAATAGCAATCATGCAAACAATGCATCAATCAGCGTGTGTTTGCAAAAAATTGGTTCAATTTACCAGTACAGGTTATCCATCTGTGCGGGAGGTACTGCGAATCTAACGCACACCACGGCACGGGCCAATCATCAGTGGTACAGCGGTGGTACGTCCTGCCCTGGTACTGGAACGGGAAGGTACACTCGCAGTACGACCATCTCCCGACTGTGTGCAGACTGTCCCACGAACACCACGGACGGGAAGAGTTTACCGAGGTACACTGGGTGAACACAGAGCCGCCGTACGTAAAAGGAAACACGCAGTGCTCGTCTGATGGTCTGGTAGGTTCCTCACTTGGTTTTCCCTTACAGATCGACCATCTCCCGTCTGTGTACGCTTGGTCCCACGCGCACCATGGAAGTATGTACCCAACAGATGTACATCCGTCGAACCTCTGTCCTTTGTAGTAGAACGGGAATACACAATCTGCAGGTACTGTTGGTAGAGAGGATGTCGGTTGTACAGGGTCCTCACAATAGGACCACCGGCCGAACTGGTACTCTTTATCCCAGGCACACCAAGGCACTTCAGAGTCTTCAGTCGTACAGCTGGCATACTCTTCACCGCCATACGTGAACGGGAAAACGCAGTCGTTTTCGTCTTTCCCGTCTGCCATAGAGTCTTCTGCGAGCCCCTTGCATATGGAGTACCTACCCTCCTGATAGTGTCGGTCCCATGCGCACCATGGTACTACTGAGTCTACCTTGGTACAACCAGTGTACAATACACCGCCGTACATGAATGGGAAGCTACATTTCTCTTCGTCACCGGATCCAGATACCTCTGATACATCTCCAGAAGCTTCGGTTGGGTGCTTGTTTGTAGTTTTGCTCCCCTGTGTACACACGGTGTACCTTCCTTCTTCGTAGTCCTTATCCCACGCACACCATGGTACTACAGAATCAACGAGTGTACAACCGGAATGCCAGACTCCGTGGTACCGGAACGGGAAAACGCACGGGGTTTCGTCCCCAGAGCTAGACATGTCCTCACCGGACGATTCCACGTGCCCCGAGCCTCCGTCAGGTGCTGGTAGTGTTTGTGCAGTAGTTTCGCAGTAAGACCACCTGCCGCTTTGTAATACGTAGTCCCACGCACACCATGGTATCAGCGAGTCCTCCGTGGTACAGTCGGAATGCCATTTATGGTTGTAGTAAAACGGGAAGACGCATCTCCGATCTCTCACATAATTAGGTTCTGGAGTCTGCGTGGGTTTTGTACTGTCGTCATCAGACGTCTTGCAGTATGCCCATCTTCCCGAGCCGTGTTGGTAGATATCATCGACCGAACACCAGGGGTGCGACAAGTCGTGAGTTGTGCACTTCTGATACAACACGCCTTTGTACATGAACGGAAACACACAAGACGTCTCATCCCACAGCCACGCGTCTTCTCCGTCTGTCCAAGGGTTGGACTGGTCCTCGTTTGATTCTCCTGCACCGTTGCCAGTTCCCCCGTCAGTCGTTTTGTTTATCCAATCACAAACGGCCCAGCGCCCCGGCTGGAACTCTGCATCCCATGCGCACCACGGTAGAACTGAATCTGCACGGCTACAGTCTTCGTACCATATCCCCTTGTACTTGAAGGGAAACGTACAAGGTATTTCTGCTCCAGAACCCGACGTCCCTTCTCCAGACCCCTGGATTCCTGATCCTTCGGCACTGCCTTCGTTTTTGTCCGTGTCACAGACCGAGAAGCGCCCGGGAACATACACAGCATCCCAGGCGCACCAAGCCAGGCCAGTACCGTATGCAGCACAATCGTGATGCCATTTTCCCTGATAATTGAACGGAAAGACGCACTTGTCTGGGCGCTCTTTTTTGTTAGGTGGTGTTGAAGTCAGTCCCTTGTCACAGTATGACCACCTGCTTTCCTTAAAGACTTTGTCCCACGCGCACCATGGTATCAAGGAGTCATCCATCGTACACTCTGCATATTCCTTATGTTTGTAGAAGAATGGGAATGTACAAAGGATGTTCTCCATGTCCTCGCCTGATCCAGTCCCACTAGTATCGTCGCCACTGTAGTTGTCCTGATCGTGTGTTACGTCGTTGCACACAGACCAGCGTCCTTCTTGAAAAGTTTTATCCCAAGCACACCATGGTAAGACCGAGTCCACGAGAGCGCAGCGGTTGTACAAGACGCCATTGTAGTAAAATGGGAATGTACACTCAATTTCCTCCCCGGAACCAGACATGTCGGACTCTCCTGATGTTTCTCCTAGGCCTGCTGGCGATCCGTTGTTTTTCTTGTCAGTTTTGCAGAATGAGTACCGGCCTGTACGGTAGAACTGGTCCCAGGGACACCACGGCCTGCCTGATTCTGACACGATGCAGTCGTAGTTCCAGTGTCCGCCGTAGTGGAACGGGAAGACGCAATCGTGAGGCCTCCCCATTACACTGGGCGGTTCAAGGAGTGCCTTTTGACAGTAAGACCACCTGTTTTTGTGGTACATTCGATCCCAAGCGCACCAAGGAGTCAAGAAGTCGACGATAGTACATTCTGTATACAACACACCGTTGTAGTAGAAGGGGAAAACGCACTGACCATGGGACTCCTCGGTGGCTTCAGAAGGCTTGTCGTCATCTCGAGGTGGCTGTGGTTTGGACTGTTTGTCTTTGCAAAATGCCCATCTGCCCGGTTGAAAGACGGGATCCACCGAACACCAAGGAATCAACGAGTCCTCCATTGTACACCCTCCGTACGTTTTCCCTTTGTAGACAAACGGTATATGGCACGATGTGTCATCCCACAACCACGCGTCGTTATCTTCATCCTTCGGTGACACCGTGCTACCCTCCCGCTCCTCACCAGACCCGCTTCCACTGAAGTCCGTCTCATTCCCTGTCATGGAGTCACAGATAGACCACCGTCCCTTCTGATACATGACATCCCAGGCGCACCAAGGGTACAGGGAGTCCTGGTCTGTACAACCTGTGAACATCTCGTTCTTGTACCAGAACTGAGACAGACATCTCTTATCTGGCAGTACCCTGTCTGGTGTATGCTCCGAGTCTGTCGTCTTGCTTTTTGTGCAGAGAACCCACCGGTCGGGCTGGTACAATCGGTCTTTCGCACACCACGGTACCATGGAATCTTCAGTAGTACAAGAGTAGTAGATGTTTCCCTTATAAACAAAAGGGAAGGCGCATTGCGTTTCTCCGGGCTGTTCAGGCTTTTGCACTTCCTCTGACCCGTCGCAGTGTCTCCAGTTCTCCCGCTGGTACATCGTGTCGTACGCGCACCACGGTCGCCCGTACGAGTTCTCCGTAGTGCAGCTGAAGTAGTAATTTCCGTGGTAGACGAAGGGGAAGCTACATTCGGGCTCCTCTGGCTCATGGGCATCGCAGTACCCCCACCTGGAGTACCGGAACACGGAGTCCCATGCACACCACGGTCGACTGGAGTCTATTGTAGTACATTTGTGGTACATCTTGCCGTTATATTCGAATGGGAAGGTACATTCTGACGGAGGTTCTGGGCCAGATTTTGTCGACGATGGTACCGAAAGATTTGCAGCTGCGGTACCAGTTGTAGGTACAACGGTAGAATCTCTTAGTACGCTGGTACGCGTTGTAGGTAGTACTGTAGAGCTGTCCATATCCCTGACGCTTGTACTTGAGACTGTGGACTTGGCCGAGGAATCTGTTTTTGGTTTTCGAGAAGCTGTCGTCATGTCGACTGTCGTTACAAACACTGTCCAGTTCTCTGGAGGGCCTGTTGGCGATTCTGTGTCGGCTGTTGTGGTTGGTGGAGAACGGGTGATCACCACTACACGGAACAATAGGAGGCCATGTTGTAACTACATTAATCTAAATAATCTCGCCTCGTTTGGGGACCATTTCTAAGTAATCTCATTTCTGCATTCAGTCATGTTAAGGATAAGGTGTCGATTCAAATTGATTGGAATTAATATTGCCTAACTCACCTTCTTTTTCACATCTTTCACCATTGTAGAACACATCTTGTGTAACTTGACATCTTAGGAAAAGAGGAAAAATAATTATTACATAAATCTTTGTCCACACAACAAAAGTACAACGACTTTCGTAAGGTGTAGTACAACTATACCTACAAATTAGCAGATTATTTAGGTTTAAACAATTCTAATTATACAAATGAACTAATGTACAGGTTCTAATGTATGCATAGATCAAAATATTGAATTTAACTTACCGTTTGTACTCCTGTTTTCGTTTTGATGTTATTTGAACCCTTGTCATCAAATGATTGCAATATTTTTACCATTTAGGACTTTTGCATTTACATTGAAAAATTGATGATCATATCATAATCAAGGCTTATGGCTACGATTCAGTGATGTAAAACGGTAGTACTGGACTTACTCGCACACTAGTGCCGTGGAGCGGTTGAACCTGCAGGTGCCTCCGTTGAAGCAGTAGTTAATGTTGGAGGAACAGAAGGCGACACAGTCCCCCAACACGCTCACACAGTTCAGCTGACCACAGTCACACGGCGTCACCGCACTGGTCGTGTTGTCTGGAAATCAAGATTCACGGGGGTGAAAAGGTTGTTGCTTCTTTTAATATCAATATAAATTCAAGTACCAGAGTTATCAACCAAGGATTGAGGTGTTCAAAAACTCTTTCCTAGAACTATCGCAGAGTGGAACTCGCTGTCTCCAAGTACAGCGGGGGCATTGTCACTGGATAGCTTTAAACAATGTTTAGAGTTAGATGTTCAAGGTTTAGGTGTAACAAGTCGTTCGGTGTAATGTAGCCAGCCGCCGTCAAAGGTGGTTATACCGGCTATACAGATACAGATACAGTTACAGACCAGCTTAATATTCCTGTGTGGCCTTAAAAAACACAATATTATTCTGCAACGGATGTATCATCGTGTACCCACCGTCTGCGACAAACGCCACCTCCCCCACTGTGAAGTTCCCTAGGGTGGAGTTGGAGGACGCCAGGGCTGACGCAATCACGCTGACGACATCGATGACGTCATCTACCTGCACGATCTCCTCCTGTATGATGATGTCAAACTCCACCACGATACTGCCCGCACTGGGTACGAGAGGACAAGTCGTTACGTAACGTTATCATTTGTATTTATGCCACAGCAAGTAAGTTTTATGGATGACATCAGCGCACGCATTAAGTTTCGCCTGATTTTGGACAAAAAGCAAGAAATTTTGCTGCACTCTAACAGTGGTCAACAAGTCAAAAATGGGCAAAGATGTCTGTTGCCATGCCGGAACGTGGATGGCAGATAAATCTGAAGAGATGAGACAACACAACGCTACTAGTCATTCTTTTGTCTTTTACTTTAATGCCATGATGTAGAGTGAATTTCATTCCTTTTACATGTGATGGTGGCTGTGTTTATGTGATGTTCCCATTGAATCAAAACCATTTGTAATTTATCGAAAAGAGTAGGGGGCCTTCCCGGTGTGAGTGGTTCAAACCTTGCAGTCCGGTCTTACGCAGCTTGTACTAACATTTGTACAAAACAGGTGTCTTACGCCTGAAGCTTTAGGCGGTTATGCGAAACAAACAAACAAAGTCGCAAGAATAATGTTTTCTCCCACCTGAAGTGCTGTATTTCCACACCGACGAATGACTGCACGTCCTTGAACATGGACGTCACCTAAAAACACATACATTTTATTACAAACTGCGCTCGTACAGACTATTCAAATCTACTTATAATGAAGAACATTATCTTAAAATCCCAAACAGAAGTCAAAGAACCACCATCACCAAACTACTTATCAGCTGTCATAAACTCAGCATCGAAACAGGAAGGCACAACCGCACACCTCTGGAGCAAAGGATTTGCCAATTTTGTAACTCAAACAAAGAAGAAGACGAATCCCACTTTGTTATTGATTGTAGTTTATATAGTAATGAAAGAAATGATCTTTTTAGCTATTACAAGTACGTTTCCGTACTTCCAATACTTGCCTAATATTGAAAAATTTATCTTTCTTATGCGCTTTGATCATCCTGTATTATATAAAGCCATTTGAAATTATATTTTTAACATCACAAAGAAACAAGAAGAGCCGAACTTCTGTATTAGAGTAGATTTAGAGCCGTTTGTACAACAAATATATTACCTATTTCATCTGTTCGCCTGTACTTAGCCCGGTAGGGCATGAATGTACAATAAAGGTTACTATTGTGATTTTAAGAGGAGTTGATTCCATTTTTGGAACACGGCATTTTACTTTATGGAGAATTAATACGTGGAAATTTTGCTGACCGCCTTGTTGAACTCCTCTGTGAAGTTGATGTAGGTTGTACTTGAATCGTTCTTCAGATCTTCCATGAAATCTCCCAACAGTCTGACTGTGATGGGGACTCTGGTGACTTGTTGACTGTCGGACACACCTGCATGGGTGGATACGTCGTGTTGGATGGAATAGCTAAAGCTAAAATGTATACACAAATCGCCTGTACCAGGGAACATAAAATGCTAATCGAAAAAATCCTAAATCGCCTAAAACTAAACCCTGCTGTCATGTAGCTGTGTGTTTTTTGGCGGAGGTAGTACTTATCATATTCTTACAAAAACAAATCATATATACGTATATCACCGTAATATCAATTCTTCGCTAAACGTTATTCTATTACAGCGTACCACGATTAGTTGTATTTTGAAAGTACAAGGTAGTTGAGTTGATGATGTAGTATAAGTTCCGTACCTGGCGGACTTTCTGCCCCCGGTGCCGGATACGGACATCGCCTGACGTGGAAGGTGTGTCCGCTCCAGGACAGGAGTCTGTCTTCACATCCGTCAGCGGACAGACCACTCACTACCGGAGTAAAAACAGCCACAATTGCTACGGTCCACAGTTTGCAAATAAAAGTCAATGAAATGTCTTTGAAGAGAAGTAAATCTTAGAGTTGGACCAAAACATGATGAGCACAAGAAAATTTATCAGACAAAAAAGATAACTACTAAAAATAGAAACCGTTGTCTTTAGAAAATTAAGCAGACATACACAGAAGTCACAAGAAAGGGTAGGGATTTCAACGTGGGCTTTTCTTGTTCTGTCTTTAGATAATTGTGTCCGAGAGACTACTTTGAAATTCACATTTTGCCTGTATATGACATTCATGTTAATTCTTATTGGTACTTTGCTAGAACCGAATATCATAACTTCTATTTACACAATCAAAGCACGTTGACATCCAGGATATATTTACAAAATAGAAGAGGAAAGGCTATCAAGCATATCTAGGTTACTTTTCACAAGCATGCTAGCACTGATTGAAGTTCTGCCATTTGCCTGTGCATAATCGTATGACCTCACGAACACCTTTCGTATAACAGCCACACCCTGGTATCAGCAAACTACAAGCTATTGTAAGTGGCTTGTTGTGGAATGCCTACCGACGTATTATGCTCTTTGTTACATGAGGACTCTATGAAAAGCAAACAGTAGTTCTGAGATCCTTCCCTGTTTTTGTTCCTTCTGTACCACTCAAAGGTTAAGTATACGTGGCAAAGTTACGTCAACAAGGAGTTGAAGTGTTTTTGTACACCTAGACTGGGCTCTTTGGAAGCAGTTGTACAACCACAAAGTGTTTCGGAGGATGTCAATGCCCTAGGAGTCACATTTCAAGGACGCCAATTATCTGTCCTCTTGTACCCTAGCGGACATCTTCGATATAATTACATGTATCTGTACCCTAGCGGACGCCTTGAATAATTATCTGTTCTTCTGGTGCATGAAACCACACCTTAACCTAAAATCATAGTCAAATATGCACATTGTTGTTACTGCTTAACACATGCATTTTAATGCTATCTACGACGGTTTGATTCACATCAATCAAAATCTGCGAATATACTTTACCTACAGCTTCTTTATTTCTGTCATCTATCGAAAGGGATTTATTAGGGAACACCAGAAATCACAGATAGACACAACTTTAAACTCAATTGTAAGACAGTCCATTATGTATCCTTTGAATTGTGGACAATAGACTGAGACGTGTTTGAGAGTAGTCGCTTCCCTTGTATGCCATGTGACAAATACTTGAAATTGTCGGGAGCTAAAGAATTTCGGAACAATGCATGATCCTATCAGTACTGTCTGACAGTGGAAGTCGATGTGCGGGGTTGTGTGGCGTAACAGCAGTGTTCGTCCCGGAACCAAGAGGTCCCGGGTTCGAATCCTGCGATGTCACTAATCTTGTCCCCTTAGCAAAGTGTAGCCTAGGAAAGGGAATTACAAGAATGTTCTGAAAATGATTATCTATTGTCCTCTGCGTTAGTGAATGGGTGAATAGGTTGAAAAAATTATATGCTGTCACCATGTTTTGTGCTGAATGTCACAAAAAAAGTCAATGATCACTCGACATGGTAGCCGCAGGTCTTGCGGAACGGACGCCAGGGCACAGCCGCCCAGGTGTGGAGTAAACCACGCCCTAAATCCTCCGACAACGGAAGGCTCTAAGGAACAAGCGGGTTCTTAGAGAAACTCTCACTCACGTCTATACAAACAGTCAGTGAATGTGGTCACTCAACCACGTCCTGTCCCTGTGTTAGATACCGGTGGTACTGTGGTAAGGCATGGTACCGACTTGTACTAGTACGGCATGGTACCGACTTGTACGGTAACTGCTAACTATCCAACTACGTAATATACGTACAGCGCATGATTCGCTGAAGATTATCAGGACAAGTAGTAGCCTTTACCAGGCTTCAGAAGCAGCTGGAAAGCTATACTTTAGCGGACCAACTCTTCTGGCATGTTATCTGTCTATTTGACCAATTTCTACTCTTTCCAGTCGCTTGCGAAGCCTGTTAGAGGCTAGCCAAATAGCGCCAATCAGTTTGTCGCCAGCCAGCTAAATTTGCGGCCACTTTTGCTGTAGATTATGGATACTAGAGTAGCATTTTGTTGTTCTCTGGCCTTGTCGACCTCACTAGACCTGATACAGGTTAAGCTCACAGTATGCGACTGGCACTTCACCACAGATACGAAAAGTATACTGGTACAGTCATCCTGGTTTTAATCGCATTAACCATGTGTGCATACTAACAGCCTCTCTGCTATCTTTAAACTAGAGTCTACACACTCCTATACATTTTTACCATCATGTCTATCATATCAATAGTCACGACATATAGGTTTGATATAGCGACACGTACTGACACCTCAAGAAATATTATGAAAATCACCTTTGAAGTCTAATTTTGTAACTTTTCATAGAAATAACACTGCTGCTATAACTTCAAGTAGGAAAATATTATGACCAGGCCTGTATCAAAACATCCCACCATCAACGTTTTGTTGCTACAGCTTTTTATTCTTTTCAAACGAAATACATTCCTTAGCGCTATATTCACCCTGTCCACATTGTGTACGTCTATTCTAAATGGATTTGATTTCCAATTAAGTACCTCTGAAAGTCAGTTGTTGGGAAGATGAAGTGTCACTTACAATGACCTCCGATCACTTGGCAGGGCAAACTCTCAACAAAACCAGTGAATCGTGTTGTAGAGTATTATTCTATGAAGTGGTGGAAAATTTTGACAACAACAGGAACCCCTTTCATAACAGTGCCCTCTTTTTTTAACTTAAAACTTAAATTAATATTATTCACGGGACCTGAAATGTAGTGGTGTCCTTTGTTATGTGTTTGTCTTGAGTGAGATTGAAAATATTTTGGAATACATCTGAAAAACAATCGTTTACATTTGCGTTCTCAATTCATGCCTTGTTTGTTCAACTTGTGAGCTTCAGTTCAGTTCTGATCAGTTTAACTTCAAACAAACTCTCTTGGATTAAAAATAGTTTAAAACATAATGCATATTGTTTCCAGACTCTTGTTGAATAGAAAACCTATCTTTGCGGCAGGTACTAAACGAAATCTAAAGTAAATATTCGATTCGCCTCGCCAGTAGTAGAGAACGTACGAGTACTTACACGAGGTGAATTGGAGCAAGAAAATGGCAGCGAAAGAAAGAACTTCCATCACGGTTCCTAGTGGAAACCTCAGGTCCATGTCTTGATAGTACAACCCAGAGCGTGAGTTAGTCCTACGTGCCTTTGCCACCGTCACAAGTGTCACCTGTACTTAAGGTACAGCATTTTGTACTAGCGGGCACTATGATAGCGTGACGCACACTCAGGTGAGCCCTTATAAGAAGGGTGGTACCCCTCGCGGACGTAGCGACCTGGGACAGGTAAGACTGGAGAGCTGTTTAAGGCGCGGCCTCTTAAAGCGCACATGTCAATCATGTCAGGGTTGGTTTGTTAAGTTAAGTCGCTAGGTGGTGTTAGGGACCTCACATGACACGTACTGTCCGCCGGTCTAAGAGTACTATTGTATCCGGAATAGTGCCTATCTAGTTCTATCCCTGAATGGGTTAACCCTATCTAGACCGGGGGGGGGGGCTAAAAGTGCCCGCGGCAACTTTGATGTCACATAGCGTCTAAACGGCTAAAGCTAGAACCACCAAACTTGGTGACTTTTCCTAAAATATTGTTGGCAACAAATCTGTATCAGTGGAATAAGATTATGATTTTTCTTGTTGCCATGGCAACAGGTTTCTGACAGGCATTTTTTGCCAAATATAATAATTTCCATTTAAACAACAGAATTTTATGGGTTTTATGTCTAGTTACACATTGTTCCTAATATTAATAACATCACATATAATTATATGTAAATTTCATCATTAAAAATGCATAATTTATGCTAATTTGATGACGTCATTGGCCAAAATCCAAGATGGCGGACCACATCATTAGATCAGGTAAATACAGCTTATTTTCCTTAAGGTTCCGGGTCGGAGTTTAATTCTGACCAGGGTTCCAAATAGTGCGCAGTAAATCGCCGGATCTGCGAGGTTGTCACGCTAGGTTTGGCTCCCCATAGCTCGGCGATCGCTGTAGATTTTCAACTAGGTTTTGAATTGATCAAAAAAGCCTTGGGATTGTAGTGTTTTTCGGCGCGGTGAAGTTGGACGGCCAGCGAAGCGTTTTTGGTATTAGTCCGCGAGCAAGGGTGATGCGGTTTGTCGCCTGATGACCCAAATAGCTGCGTTCTATGTGGAATTTCCAGGGGTTCGCGTCACCGGATTTTGCGAAAAACTTATCGCAACAACCTATATTTTTTTTCTGTTTTTCAGAAACAGGAAGTAGTAAGCTATTTCAGCATATAAGCCGTTAGCCTGGGAAAAATTCGTTTTTTCCAAGCAGGTCCGTTGAAAAAACTGCAAAAAACTACATTTTTCGTATCCAAAATTTACGTTTAACTACAGTTTCTACCCAAATTATAGAGTCGACGGACAATAACCAAAATTGTATCGGAAGCCGGCTGGAAACCTCCGTTGACTGATGTAATGAGATTTCCCGGCGTACTTTT